AGAAGGGAATACATGGGCAGAAGGAGAGAGCGCAGGCAAAATTGTGTGTCTGTGCTAAAGAGTGATCAGGGGTGATGGAGTCAACTTCATTGTGGGGATCTGACCTGAAGAGTGCCCAGGATTCTCCCAGCATGTTTTTAATAGGCTGACATTTTAATTTAAATCTTTAGAAGTAATATATTACTTGGGTTACTACAATGAGCTGGGTTCCCTTTTTGTCAGCTGACAGCTTTTAAAATATTATTTCGCTAGGGAAATAAAAGCTTCATCTCAGATTATAGGTGGGTATTTTTGGATTTATGTGATTTATGGTCACCATGACAACTAATGCTGAATGTTAGCTACTAGCATGTCTGGGAGAGGGAAGACAGGAAGAAGGGAGAGCAAGAGAAATAGAAAAGAGACGAACATGAGCTGCAAAGGGAGAACATAGAAAAAGAAAGGAGCATTTAAATCCAATTTTTGTTGTGTTGTGTTCTTTTTAAGTGACTTTAGTTAGTCCCTTGTCACTTCTCTCTCTGGACCTGAATATTGATATTTATCTTATTCCCGCTTCTCTCTCTTACCCTAACATTTATACATTCTCCTTATTTTACGTTTCCATGACTAAGTCACATTGTGAGATTAAATGAGAGCCTAATAAACCTGTAGTGGAGGACGGAGCTTGCTAGTAGGGCTAGCATGCTAACATGAAAAGGCATCACAGCACGTGGGTTTAGTGATTTCACTAGCCCCCTGCTCCGATGCTTCCTCTAATCCCTCAGTCTTCTCGTCACCGGCCCTACACCTGACACCTGAACTTTCTCCCCCAGTCGCACCAAACCTCCAGCGGTAGGTTGTGTGGGGACAGATACAGGGGGACCAACTGCACGAACCTAGCGAGGGCGGGTATTGTTTAGTACATCTACAGATTTCTGGTTCCAAAAAATGCATCCTCCTTTTTTACAAAATAAAGGAACAGTTTGTTTGTTTTTTATTCCATTTAGGCAATGAGGGGGACGGAAATTAGCTACAGTAAAGCCTTTAATGTTTGGTTACGGCTGGGGACGCGGGTAGAAAGGGAGCCCTTTCCAGCTTGATTTCTTGTGCGGAGGGAAGCCAGGCAGAGGAGGGAGAGGAGGAAGGGCCACTTCTTGGGCAGGGTGCAAGGTCTCCTTCTGACCTCTGCGCCTGACACCACTGCTGGCGCACCCACGCCCCTCACGTGTCTCCGAGCAGAATCCCAGGCGGGCCTCGTCCTTGAGCTGGCCTTGACTGAGCAGGGCTCCCGCCTCTCTGAGGCCTGACAGTGCAGGGGGGTATGTAATTGAGTCATTTTCCAGGTGAGTTCTGAGGACACGTTTTTCTTTTCCGAATGTCGTTGGCCCCTTGTTTGTGTCCCTATCTGTACTTGGGCCGCTGCAACTAAGAAGTTGATGGCACAGCTTGGCCAATCTCACCGTGATGGCCAGAGGGGTCTTTCTGCAACTAACACTAAAGAGTGCGAAATTAAGTAAGACTTTAAGGCTGGTAATTGGTGGCAAATAACAGCTCAAAACTCTCCTCAAGGGTCATTATTTGAAAGAATGAGCAAGAAAACAACGCCGATTGAGATGATACCTGATGTCTTGGGACACAAAAACTTAATCTCGCACCGAGCTTCCTGTCCTGGTCCTGGGAAGCCCTGGTGCACCTCGGGCTCCCCTGAAAGGACCACGCTGAGTTTTTCTAATTTCTGTGCAGAAAGCTGACATAGCGATTTCTAGAACCAACCAAAGAAGGGCTTAGTGCTGAACCGAAATACATTCGATTTCTTCACTTTCAACTTCTTCCTTATCGGTGCTGCCTGTACCTGTGTGCCCACCCATATGGTTTCGGTTAATTAAATCTCCAAAATTACTCACAACCACCCCCATTTTTACGGAGAAGTGTCTCCCGGCTCCCCACTTGTTTTTCCTCATCTAGACTTTTCGTGTTGTTATACTCCTACAACCCACGGAGTGAAATCTCAGGCTTGGGAAGTGTGTCTCTCAGACAAGAGTTTCTGAAGTGATTAATTGATTAGGAGAGAGTTGAAATTCTGGCTGAAAAAAAAATGTGAAGAAACACCTCACTAGCTCAGTTGTTTTGAGAGCTGGGGTTGGGGGTTATACTCTATAGACTTATAGGTATATGTGTGTATAGTTGTGTTTTTTCTCTAATCAGGGAGTTCCAGATAACTGTCTTTATGTCCCACTTGGCTTTGCAATGGATTGATACAATTTAAGATTCCTTGTCCCTTTAGGCTTTTAGGCTGCCTAAAGGTCACCAGCACTTCCACCATCTCCACCCTTTGGCACTGTAAGGTGCTGCCACTTGCCCTTGGGTTTTTCACCCACTTTGGAGGTTGGTTTAGGTCCCTCGTGGTGTGTATTTGTCCGGATGAAAGTTCTATTAGTCAAGCAGAGCCACCTGAGCTTAAATCAGAATTCTGCGGGTTTAATGAGAGATGTGTTTAGAAATCTGTCTGGCTCTGTAGAGCTTCTCGGCTCTCCCAAGCAAGGAGTTTGGACAAACACTCTGAGCTTGCACCAAAAATTGAGTGCTCACTGTGATGGGGGATCTCTCCTTCTTTGATATAATGGGGGTTTCTTCGTGAATCAACAGCCTTGTAGAATGGGGGTTTCTTCGTGAATCAACAGCCCTTAGGGGCACGGTAGTGTGGGGATCACAGCTCTGCTAAGGTTTAGAAGAAGAAACTGGAATATGATTAGTAAACACATTGGGCAGAAAAGAGCTGCATTCATATTGACTTAGTTACAGGTCATCGGCTGCCAGTTCAAGGGGAGGAAATATTTACTTTACACATATACTTTATGATCTTGGGGGAATTAGAGGAAATTCAATAAGAAAATGGCTGGAAACATCTAAAACCCTTATTTAAAAGACTTAAGCAAATTAAAGTCTTATCAGATTAAAACCCACTACAAATGTAAGAGCATTGTCTTCAGCGAAACGCTGTGGGGTCTGAGGAGATTCTCCTCCAAATCTCAGGGATAAAATGCGTCATTTAAGCACCAGATAATGAACAGAATGTAAATTAATTTAACCTTCTTTACCAACAGGCTGCCGGTGTAATATGTATAATTTAACGATAAGATTGCGGGACCTAATATGGCTGGAAGTATGAACCTCAGCCAATGCAGACCTGTCAGAGGGGGGATGTATTCTGCTCTGGGTAGGTGTGTATGCTTGGAATGGGGGTGAACTGGGACAAAAGGTTAAAATTAGAAATGCTGATTTAAAGCTTACTATGAAGCAAGTTTCCCCCTTATAGCTGAATTCTTCTTAAAGTAGGATGGTACTTGTGTGGAGAGAGACTAGTCTGGAGAACAATTCTCCTATGGTTCCTCTGACTGCTCTCAAGCATGTTTAAAATGAGGGAGGAGTTGCAGATAGGGTTTGGGGTGGGGAGCAGGGCAAAGGGGAGACACATAGGTTACAAACATGTTTGTAGTCCGTTTCATCTACTCTGCCCCAGACCGAATACGTTTCCCAATCTTGTGAACAAGGACGGGGAGGGGATTTTCTGGAGATACTCCATACTGATGTTGCAAATCATTGACTGTAACGTCAAACAAATACACAGCCAGGGATGATAACACTAACTCCACAATAAAGCAATCGCCCATGCAGAGCCCAGGGGAGATTAGTCTGTGCTCCCCAGCTGACCCAAGCCAGAGGACAAAGGGACTTTCAAAAAAATTATTTTAAATAATGTGTTTGGGTTTCTTTCTCTAACTTCCGTGGAAATTAAATTGATGTGGAAATAATGCTACAAAGGGTTGGATGTCGCCAAAGGTGTTCTATTTCCTTTGTTTATATAAATGAATAGGTTTTGCCTTTCCTGGCCCCGGGTTCTCCTACGCTTGTGTCCTTTGCTCAAACCCTACCGCCTCTGCCTGCTTGGACTTTAACAATTCAAGACAGCCTTGAGCTTCCTAGGGGGGAAAAAGAAGACAAAAATTATCCTTGAAATTGGTTATTTGGCAACATTCTTAATTGTATGGAAACTCATTAAAGCATAGTTTATATATAATTAGCTCAAGGCTGTTGATTCTACAAGCTTTATGGATTTCAATCTGATTGATAATAAAGTAAACACAAGAGTCGAATTTAAAGCTCGGCTCTCTCTCTGGTTAGGACGAGCTTAATACAGTGTACGAGGAATTTGAAAGATCTAGGATATGTGTCTTAATCAACGCTAAGTAGAATGGATAAGCTTTCAGCATTTTGAAAATGCTGGGCTAGGGTTTCTATTCTATTGTGTGTTTTCTGTCTGGGGACTAATAAGCATTACAGAGAACGTGATCTGAGGCGACTTTTTATTCTTGTATAAATCCAGAGTGAACCACCAAACAGTTGTTCATTGAAAGTCAAGGTAATTTTCTCTTGACGGGTCCATTTGCTTCTCGATTTCTAATTTATTAGCCTGCCTTCTAAGGGATATGTCTTTTTTTTTTTTTCAATTAAAACAAAGATTCTTCAGATTAGTGCAGCGTTCGCCTGACAGGCTGTTTGGAAAAATCTAAGATCGGAGAAGTGATCTGTGGGTGTTTTTTTAAAAAATATTTCTGGTTTTCAGTAGCATGTCTCCTTTCCATACAGGAGAAGAAAAACACCTCTGGAGTGAAAATGGCTATAAGTGAGACATAAAAGAAAGTGGGCAAGGGGTACCTTGTTGACCCGTGTACCTTCCAGCTCCTTTCTCCCCGAGCCTTTTTACTCCCACCTCATCCTTCCACCTCTCCGCCCGCCCGAACAAAAAGCCGATCGCGCTCAGTCGGGCTGGAGCCAGCGGGTGTAGACTCTGCGGGCGCAGGGAGGTAGTGGCCCAGCCCACTGAGCTGATAGGTGCAAGCAGCGCGGTCCCTCCGCCCGCAGCTCGGGGCCTCCTGATTGGGCCAGAGCCACGTCACTCCGGCCACCAGAAGGGTCTGGGAGGAGGCGGAGGGAGGCAGGAGGGCCGTGGCCAAATGACGTCTCGGCACCAGGAAGCCCGCCTCTGGTTTTTAAGATGTTAGGCCAACAGGGAAGCGGGGAGCCGCAGTGCCGGTCCTCCGCTGGCCCAGGTGCCCGGAGCTGAGCTGAGCTGAGTTGAGCTGCGGCGAGGCCCGGCTCCAGCCCCACGATCCGCGGGGCCGTGCGTGTGCCCGACGCGGAGGGAGCGCCCGGAGGCTCCGCCGCCGCCGCCGGGATCCGATGTCAGCTACCTGTCCCTGTCACTCTTGACACTTCGCTGTCAGGGCTGCGCGCGGGGGGCGGGCGGAGCGCGCCCGGCGTTGGCCGTCCCCATTGGAGGGGTCCTCGGGAGAGGGAGGGGGCGAGGAAGGAAAGGGGTCTTCGCCCACTCTCGTTTCGCTTTGGAACTTGCAAGCCTACTGCTCCCCCAAAGACGCCCGGAGCCCCGGAGCCGTACCCTCCCAACCGACCTCGTTCGCATGGCTCCGCTCGCCCGCTGACATTCGGCCGCTGGAACCTCTCGCTTATTAAAAGCCTTTCCGAAGAAGACCGGGCGGCGAGGCTAGAGCGCTCCGCGGGGGTTGTGTTTCCCGGCTGTGCCCGCGGCGGACCCCGCGGGGACGCCCCGCGCCCCGAGCCGGGCAGGGCGGCGCGCTCCTCCGCCCATGAGCTGCATGAGAGGCCCGCTGCACTTGGAGCCCCGAGCAGCAGGGACCAAGCGGCCGGCTGCCCCCGCGTCCTCCGCCTGCCCCCACCCCCAGCTCCAGGCGATGGCTTCGGTCCTAGCCCCCGGCCAGACCCGCGCCCTGGACTCCGCCAAGCACAGGCTGGAGGTGCACACCATCTCCGACACCTCCAGCCCCGAGGCCGCAGGTAAGGAGCCGCGCGGCCCCCGCTGTACCCCCGCCCGGCCGCCCCGCGTCGCTCGACCTCTCTGGCCCTCGAGCAAGACGGGCCCTGCCAGGGGGAAAGGCAGTGGTGGGAGTGGTCCTGCAGCTGGCCGTCCGCACGACTTCCCGTCCCTTTCGCTCTACCTCCACCGCCCGGCTGGGGTGGCGCGAACGGCGCGGGTCTCTCGGCCTCCCTTCCTATGCTTACCCCGGCCTCCCTTCGGTCGCTTGGGTCAGAAAAAATGACAGCATCTGCACCCGAGGGGGCCCAGAGGCCGCTCCCCATCTCCCACCCGGGCCACGTTCTCCTCTTTGCTTTCAGAGAGAAGCTCCACTTGTTCACAATGTATCTCTGAAACTATGTGTCAGAAGAAGAGGTCTTAAAAAAAAAAAAAAAATTGGGTGCCAGACCGAATCCCAAAGTCCGCTTCTCTAGCCTTCCCAAACCTCTTGGAAAGCCGGGGTGTCGCTGTACAGAAAGCCGGGGTGTCTCTGTACCACGCGCGCGGGCGCGTGTCCGGGAGGTTTCGGTGTGTCTGCACAGAGGCGTATACACGGGCTCGAAAGGACGGGCAATAAAAATGAATGTGTCGCGGTCGCAGGCAAGATAAACATGTAAATAAAACATACGGCGCCGCCGGCGGCGGTGGGGGGGGGGGGGAGGTGATGGGGAAAGAAGGGAGGAGATGGGGCGCGCACACCCACACCCGCGCCGGCACCCCCCAGACGCCAGTGCTCCGCGCCACGCGAGCGAGCGGCCGGTCCCACACTCCTCCCGCCGCCTCCCCTCTCTCCCCAGCCAGGGCCCCCCCTCTCTTCCCGGGAGTTCCCCGGTGGCCGGTGGTGGGCACGCTGATGGGAACCGCTGTGCGTTGTTTCGCTTTCAGAGAAGGACAAGAGCCAGCAGGGGAAGAATGAGGACGTGGGCGCCGAAGACCCGTCCAAGAAGAAGCGGCAGCGGCGGCAGCGGACTCATTTCACCAGCCAGCAGCTGCAGGAGCTGGAGGCCACGTTCCAGAGGAACCGCTACCCGGACATGTCCACGCGCGAAGAGATCGCCGTGTGGACCAACCTCACGGAAGCCCGAGTCCGGGTAGGAGCGCGGGCGGAGCGGGGGAGGGAGGGAGGGCTAGGCGGCGGGGGAGCGCCGCGGAGGCGCAGGCCTTGGAGACCCGGAGGGAGCGACGGGAGGCGGCGCCGCGCCCCGGAGGCTGCGGGTGGGGTGTCTTTGCAAAAGCAAAAGGCCTCTCGCCGCCGGCCCAGTAGCGAGGTGCCGGCCCAGTCGCGGGGTTTCAGCTCCCCCATCCGAGGCTCTGCCGAGGGCCCCCTTTGGGGCCGGAATGGCACGGACTCGCTGCTACTACGCCGCCCAGCGCCCTACCACACTGGGCCACATGGCATTCATTCCCTTGCACAGGGTATTGTGTTCCTGGCTTGCAGTCGCCGGGCGAGCGCTCATAAAATCCCTCCCAGGCTAGGAGCTGAAAACAGGCTCCAACCTGTGCGCCTTTAACAAGGAAAACCGGCCAGAAACACGCAAGGGAAACTTTCCCGCCGGGCCTGGCCCAGCCCTTTCTCCAGGCGTCTCGTCCTCCATACAAGGTCTCTGCGGGCGGTTTGGGGCCATTCAGGTCTCTCTCACGCCCGACTCCCTGGTTTTGTGATCTCTGGAAGCCATTTTAATACCCAAGCTACTATCCTGCTAATCAGTCCTCTTAGAAAGAAAAAGAAAAAGACTTTTCAGTTTGGTTTATTTATCTTTTTCTCAGGAGATTGTTGCACCCTTCCCCCCAGTTAAAATAGTTTTATCAAAGAAAGGGCTTACCTTTGTGTAGCAAATCTGTGCATTATGGATGGGCAAAAAAAAAAAAATGAACTTTAAATCAGTTACCCAGTAGCGGCAGCATCCTGGTTTATGCTTGTCGGTGCAAAACTCCAAAATTGTTAGGATTCTGGAAACAGAAAATACACAAAGGATCCAGAGGCTTTACTGGGGAAAAAAAAAGTCCTGGATAGAAAAACAGAGCCCCCAGCTAGAACAGAGGAAGCGTATAACAATAAGGATGGAAAGATTTTAAGGCCAAAAATCACTCCCAGAGCAGAGGGAACGAAGAAGACACTGTCTGGGTGGCACTGTGTAAGGCGTGAGGCGAGGCTGGTGGTAAAAGAGCCGGGATGAGGTTGGAAATGGTTTTAAGTTTAACTGCACGGAGCCAGCGCTCCGCGGGCCTGCCTGGCTCTGCGAAAGGTCAGTCTCTCATTAGCTCTCCGGAGCAGCAGGGGAACGGGCCTCTCACGTACGCTTCTTGCCTGGGCAAAGTTTAGGTGGCGTAAGGGGAGAAATGGCAAGTAGTTAAAATAAAAACACTATCTGTGGATACCGTGGGATCCTTCAGGAAAGCCCTCCCACAACCCCCTGGCTTCCCCTCAGTCCCTCCCCAGGGCCTTGCTCGCCGACCCGCAGGGGCCCTCGCTCCCTCCCGCTACCTCTACCCAAGCCCAGGGCTGGTCCAGCCGAGTGGGAGTGAGGCGGGCGTGCTTTTTATAGCAGTCGGGTGCAAAAGAGAGGAAGGGGGACACAAAAGGAAATCAAGAATGAAAGGGGAAAAGGGGGGAGAGAAAAAAGCAGATTAGCCGGCTGGGCCCGGCTGAGAGATATGTAATGGGAAACATCACTGGTGTCAACTCCGAAATCTCCGACCAGGCCTCTCTCCAATACACAAAAGCCGCCGTCTGGGGCGACTGGCGGGTCCAATGTGGATTGAGAGCGGGGTTGTGGCGGGGCCATCGGTCGCGGGTAAGGGGGTTGGCTGGGCTGGAGGGGGCCTCCTGCAAAGCCCAGACCCGTCTGGGCCCAGGAGGAGAGCGAAGGGGCGCAGGCTTGGCCTGGGATGGGAGGAGTAAGAAAGAGAGCAGAGTGAGTGGGGGCTGCAGAGCGACCCATTCTGGGGTCGGAAGTTTATGCACGCTGAATTCCTTGAGTTTACAGGAGCTGTTGGGGTTTTACTTGGTTATTTTGTTGGTTGAGGGAGGGGGTTGCGGCCCGGCGTTTGCTGAGGGGAAGGTGCAGGTTCCCCTGGAGTGGAAGGGGGCAGTGGAGACCCCAGAGTATAGGGAGGGGCTGTGTGGGGGAGCGGGCTCTGGTGCCCTGCCAGTCCCTGGTGCTCTCCACGGAGTGTGTGGCTTTGGAATGGAAGCAAGTTTGCAAGGTGGCCAGGGAAAGACGCGGGGCGGGAGGAGCCTGCTGGCCCGCGTTTATTTTTGCAGGGAGTGTTTTTGGATCCCAAGCAGGGCCCGGGTTAGAGAAGAAGCTGCCACAGGCCACCAAGCATTCGGCTGGGGTTTGTGGCGAAGCTCAGAGCCCTGCCTCGTAGGCCTGAGCCGCCAGGGCTTTCCTTCCTCCTTTGGTCTGGGCTCCAGACCATGGGGTGTGGGGCGCCCGGGGGTGCGGAGACCGGTGAAGACCAGGGTTTGGTGTCGGAGAAGAGGCGGCCTTTGGTGCTCTCGGGGGGATTGAGGTTTGACTTATCCGACCTGTGGCGTCTTATTTGCTCCCTGCCCTCCTCTTCCCCCCTCCCCCACCCCATCCCACCCCAGGTTTGGTTTAAGAACCGCCGGGCCAAATGGAGAAAGCGGGAGCGCAACCAGCAAGCCGAGCTGTGCAAGAACGGCTTCGGGCCGCAGTTCAACGGGCTCATGCAACCCTACGACGACATGTACCCGGGCTACTCGTACAACAACTGGGCCGCCAAGGGCCTCACGTCCGCCTCGCTGTCCACCAAGAGCTTCCCCTTCTTCAACTCGATGAACGTCAACCCCCTGTCGTCCCAGAGCATGTTCTCCCCGCCCAGCTCCATCTCCTCCATGAGCATGTCGTCCAGCATGGTGCCCTCGGCGGTGGCCGGCGTCCCGGGCTCCGGCCTCAACAGCCTCAACAACCTCAACAACCTGAGCAGCCCGTCGCTCAACTCGGCCGTGCCCACGCCCGCCTGCCCCTACGCGCCGCCGACCCCGCCGTACGTTTACCGGGACACGTGTAACTCGAGCCTGGCCAGCCTGAGACTGAAAGCCAAGCAGCACTCCAGCTTCGGCTACGGCAGCGTGCAGACCCCGGCGTCCAACCTGAGCGCCTGCCAGTACGCGGTGGACCGGCCGGTGTGAGCCGCGCCCGCCCGCCGGGATCCTAGCGCCGTGCCAGGCGGGAGGGCCCCTCTGGCCCCCGGAGAGACTGGGAGTTACTGCTAGAAGGTCGTGGGCACTCAAGGAAGGGACAGAAGGAGGAGGGAGAGGAAAAGGAAACCACTGAATGAAAGAGAGGGAGCTCCCTCGATTTCAAAAGGAATTGCCTCGGTGTCTTGACATCTTTCCCTCAAAAGTTATTTCCAAAAGTTGCAAAGGACGCGCTCTCGGAGGTTTGACTGGATAGGACCTTTTAACATTACGATAAGCTTGTTATTTTTTAAGTTTAGCCTTGTTAACATTAAAAAAAATGACGGAAAGGATGTATATATATCGAAATGTCAAATTAATTTTATAAAAAGCAGTTGTTAGGAATATCGCAACAGTGTTTTTAAAAGGTTAGGCTTTAAAATAAAGCATGTTATGCAGAAGCGATTAGGATTTTTTTCGCTCTCGAGCAAAGGAATGTATATATTAAATGCCACACTGTATGTTTCTAACATATTATTATTATTAAAAAATGTGTGAATATCAGTTCTAGAATAGTTCCTCTGGTGGATGCAATGATGTTTCTGAAACTGCTATGTACAACCTACCCTGTGTATAACATTTCGTACAATATTATTGTTTTACTTTTCAGCAAATATGAAAAAAAAAGTGTTTTATTTCATGGGAGTAAAATATACTGCATACACATTGGTCTGGATTCTTTCTGCCCCTCCTCTGTCTCCTGGCCAGGGTTTCTCAGTCACTGCCTACCAAACCAGTTCCCTCTGCCTGCTTAGTCAAGGATGCAAGGCAGGAGCACTTATTTAAATTTGGTAGAAATAAATTGTAATCATCCATCAGAAACAACAAAAAAGCACACCCAGAAAGAAAGAAAAAAAGAGCTGCAAAGTCTGATCTTGTCTCTCCCAGATTTGTATTTGGCTTAACCCCCCCGAGGATTCCATTATTGCTAGAAAAAATAATATTTTTTTTATTATTTCACCAGGTGAAAGAAATGTAGACAGTACACCAGCTTGGAATTTCTCATTGACTCCTGGGGGAGAGGGGTGGGGTACCTGTGCCTCCAGGAAATTGTTCTGGAGAAGTATATGTGTATGTCTACCTGTACAGTTTATATACATTCCTCTCAAGAGGAATATGTCTGTATGTTTCTTGGGAAACACCGCCAGTTCAAAATATTTAGGCCTCCACGTTTATCTTTCAGGCTTAAGTAGAGAGATTCTTCATGTTCTATTGCATTGCTATTTCCCAATCCTTTAGAGACATTAAAGGAAACAAAGACAGGTTCTAATAACCACAGCCCCTCGGTTTCTCAAAGAGCCCAGGGGTTGAGAGGTTAGAGTGGAGTTTCCTGAGTCTTGTCGAGCAATATGTAGTTGAGACAAAGGTCACGCTCCCCGTGTTTTGTTTTAAATAATATTGACCCATTAATTCTAAACCTGCTTGTTCCTGAAATTATACAGGATTATAGTTTGCAAACTGCAGGACAATGATTCAAATCAAGATGAATTACAGCCCTCGCCTCCCCTCCCATCCTCTGACTTCTGAAGGGGGAAGGAGGGTCTGTGTGTGTTTGAAAGAATTTGAAACAACCCCTCCTTCCTTTGCTGGTGGTTTTCAGCCTCTCTCTCTCTCTCTCTCTCTCTCTCTCTCTCTCTCTCTCTCTCTCTCTCTAATGTGGAATTTGATTTAGTAGCAAATAGTAGCAACTACAACTTAGTTCGGAAGAACTCATCACCACGGTGCTGTGAGGGGAGTGGGGGGGGGGGAGAAAAGGAGTTGGGTCAGAGCCGCCCCGCACCCCCAAGTGGGCGAGAACAAACACCATCAGGGGGAACGAAGGGGGGGGGGGGGCGAAAAGAAGCCGCCGGTTTGGAGGAGCAAGAGAAAATCCTGTGTTTTTTTGCGCTTAGGTTTCTTTTATCTGCAACTTTACCTATCAGCTTTGGAAGCGCAGACACTGAGTCTTTGTTCTGCAAGGAACTGCTGGCTGCTGCTGCCTTTTGAAGAGATCGCAGGTAGCGTCCTCGATGTAAGGCCGGTGCTCAATGCACATTAACCTCCTTTCCTTTTTAAGCTCTGCCCCCGGCCCCGCGGAGGGATCACGCGGCGGTGGGGGGCAGATAAAAGCCCTTTGAACGAGGGTCACCCCCGTCCTTGTTGTTCACTCGAGAGCACTGGAGAGGAAAGCGGTCCCCACCGGCGGACTTTGGCTTCTGCAGCGGCGGCGGGGCCCACGGTGCGGGCGCCCCGGGCTCGGCCTGGAGTGGGGGAGGGGGGCGGGGGAGGGGCGGCGGGGCCCGGGGCAGGGATTTGGGGTCGGGTACCGGGGGCTGGAAGCGCTAAGGAGACCCGCTGGGCGGACGTGCGTCTCCTGCTGGTGCTGCAGGGGCTTGGGAGCGCTGGCTACAGGAGGTGGATCTCGGCCTAGTTTGCTCGCCCCGAAGTAGAACTTTATTTCGAGGGAATCCATCCATCTGCGGGGGACAAACAGACAAACAAACAAAGGGAAGTCGAGGTTGGGGAAGAAGTTGTCGCTGCCCCGGCTACAGTGGTGCGGGCTGGGGGGGCGGAGACTCGGCCCCGCGGGGGAGCCCTCTCCCCCCTCAGCTCCTTTCCCTGGACTTTGCAGAAGCAAGAATGGTCCTCCTCACCCCGTCCCCGCCCGCCAGCCCTCTCCCCCGGCCAAGAGGAGAGCCTGGCTCCCCAGCCACCGGAGGGGGTCCCCTCGCTCCTCCCGCTCGCTCCCCGGTCCCCCCTCCAGCCAGCGCCACTGCCACCGGCTCGGTTCCACTCAATCGATTTTTGCTTCATGTCAACACTTATTACCGGTGAGTGTGAGGGTGATTTCTCCCCTTCTCCAGGTCTCTTAATGATTTCTGAGCTAGTTGTGTATTAAAGCGCTTAAATGAATCTGTAGGTAATCTATAGCATGAACACGGACCTCCTCCGCTGGAGACCCGAGGTGGTGAGCCTGAGGCCGCGCGCGGGGAGCCCGGGCCCCGCTGGCCTCCGCCCCCGCCGCCACCTCCGAGCGCCCGAGCCTGGGGCTGGGGCTGGCCGGACGAGTCTCTGGCCGAGGCCTAGGGGCTTCTTTTCCCCCCCACCTGTGACTCTCTCACCTTTTCTCCGGCCTGTCCTTGGGTTTTTAAGCTTTTAAACATGTCTAAGGCCCCACAGGCTTCCTTCCCCTGATTCACATCGGCGGAGACCTGGGGGAAAGATGCACAGAGCTCACATCTGTCTCGATAGCCTCCCAATTCCTAAATCCGAGTTTACTGCCCACACTTGGGTAGACATTTAATTAAAAAAAAAAAAAAAAGTTGGGTAGCCTGGGCCCAGCGGCTGGCTTGATGAGGAGGCAAGTCCTCCCCTTTGCCTCCATGCCCTGCATTTCTGTCTCCCGTCCCCCCCTCCCCCTGCGCGCGCGCGCGCGCGCGCACACACACACACACACACACACACACGCACACAGACACACACACACACACACACACACACACACTCCTCCCACCCCTTTTCTGAGAGGTGCTGAAACCCCGGGCTCCCTGTAGGAGTGTAACAACAATCACAAAATTAATGGGGCAAAATAAAGAGCGTCTTAAAAGTCCCAATACTCCTCGAAAGCCCCATAAATTAACCCTGTAAAGAGGGCGAGCTTTTTTAAGGCCAGCCTATAAAAACCCAGCCAGATCTGCAAGGAGGACACTCTCCTCCTCCCCCTCCAACCCCTCGCTGCCGCCTCCCGAATGTGCCCAAACAAAGGTCTGCCCCGCAATCCACATCCTAATCCGCCGTGCCCTCGTCGCCGTGGGGAGCCCCCTCAGCCTCTGGTGGCCCACAGTGTAGCAGACAGCCCAAGGAGTGCCCAGATTTGGGGGCGGGAGGATGTAATCAGATCAGAGGTCTTTATGAATATAGAGTCCCTCCTGATTGACACTAAACCCCGCCGCCGCCGGCTGCAGTGGATCTGAGCACACAGGGAAGCAGAGACCTGGCTGGCGGAGGGCGGACTGGTCTCCAAGTCAACAGGGAACATTTCTTGTTGCAGATTTTTTTTTTTCCAGAAAGAATTGTTTGGAAAGCTATTCTCTCTCTCCGCAGCCTTCCTAAGATGAGGATTGCATTTTAACCTAAACTTGAGAAAATAATCATTGAAGGCAAGATTGAAAGTAAAACACAAAACACAACCGTGGGTTAAGTAGAAACCTGGTTGTAAGCACACAGCTAATTTACCCTTTCTGGTTTCAGCATAAGAAACCAGGGAAATTTTTACTGTAATCTGAATAGTTTATCATACTTGTCCCGCCCCCGCCCCTTCTCACCCTTGCCTTTCCCTCTGAAAAGACAGAAACCAGAATTTATTCGGAGATGCACTTCTGTGCTAAGTATTTTATGTAACTGTTGATTTTAGATTTTGTTTGCAGATTACAGAAGGCCTGCAAGAAATAAAATATCCTATTGAAGATATACTTAATTCTAATTAATTACCTTTTTTTAAAAATTGTTGCTATTTTTGTAAAAAGACTGCAATAACAGTTCAGTGGCAGCTGGGGAAAACAGAATTTGAGGCTTAAGTTACTCAGCCAAAGCATGGCTCAAAGAACCATCTAAATTCTTTTTAAAAAATACACACCAAAATGTTTAATGAATATATAGTAAAGGTGTTTACTCTGGGGGGATTGTGTGGGGAAATTGCAATGTTTCTATTCTCTCAGAAGGGCTAAGAGAAATTCAGACTAGACTCACTGGGCCTTCCCCCAGCAGGGCGTGTCTACACTCCCTGACTTTGATGGATCTTCCCAGATTTAGTTCTTTTACTCTTCGCCCCTTCTCTCCCTGACTCTTCCTACATCTTCTCCCTGTACCATTTTCTTTATTCACACCAAAGATGTCCACCCCTTCATCCTACCTCCCTTCTATTTGGCTTTGAAAATGGCCCAGCCCGCTGCTGCTGGGACCTGATGCACCCTCCTCCTGCTTGGGGTGGCTCCTTACCGACGGAAACGCCCTCTACCAAGGAAGGCCTTTCGCGTCCACATGTCTGCCTCCGCCTGACAGCTTGAAGCTTCGCTGTGGGACCCCCCTGGCATGCAATCCTTGGCAGGAAACTTTATCCTTGTTGCTGGAGAAAGAGGAGACCCAGAGCCATCCCTGCAGTCCCTGAAAGGGGGGCGGGGCAGCGTGTGAGTGTGACTTGGAACCCAGACGAGTGGCAGCCCCGTTCTTGGGCGTCCTTCTGCTTGTGCCAACGCCACAGCCCTGCTTCTCGGCGTGGGGACTGAGTGGGCTGCTGCCCCCAGTTGGAATCAGATGGCATCTTCTGGGTCCTCCAGGGTGGACCACAGGGACTTTGTGTCACTTCACAAGGCTGCTTGCAGTCGGTGGGACCTGTAGGGTGTGTGTGTGGGGGTGTGTGTGTGTGGTGTGTGTGTGTGTGGTGTGTGTGTGTGTGGTGTGTGTGTGGTGTGTGTGTGTGTGTGTGGTGTGTGTGTGTGTGTGGTGTGTGTGTGTGTGGTGTGTGTGTGGTGTGTGTGTGTGTGTGTGTGTGGTGTGTGTGTGTGTGGTGTGTGTGTGTGTGTGGTGTGTGGTGTGTGTGTGGTTTGTGTGTGGTGTATGTGTGGTGTGTGGTGTGTGTGTATGTGGTGTGTAGTATGTGTGTGTGTGTGGTGTGTGTGTGGTGTGTGGTATGTGTGATGTGTGTGTATGTGGTGTGTAGTATGTGTGTGGTGTGTGGTGTGTGTGTGGTGTGTGGTGTGTGTGTGTATGTGGTGTGTGTGTGGTGTGTAGTGTGTGTGGGGGGGTGTGTGTGTATGTGGTGTGTAGTATGTGTGGGGGTGTGTGTGTGGTGTGTGTGTGTGTGTGTGTGTGTGTGTTCATTCGCGCTTGCCTGCTCCTTGGCACAGAGGTGGAGACCTGCAGGTATTCCTTCCCAGCACCAAGGAGGGGTCTTGGCCTATCAGAGCCCAAGGCATTTCCTTAGAAAATAACATAATATCAAGCAAAAAGGAAGTAAAATAAGTCTGCGGACTCACTGACCTCAGCGCCTTCAGCCCCGGCTTGAAACCTATGAGATGGTAGGAGCCACTCTTATCTGATGAGGCAGGGTCTTGTTTCTCTGACCGAAAGAAAATAAAGGAGTGAGGGGGAGAAGGAAAAGAAAAGAAACACAAAACATCCCGCCTGCACATGCTGGGCCACAGCTCCTGGCGCGAAGCTCTCCTGCCCAGCTCCGAACCCCTTTCCAGGCGCAGCCCGCCAGCGGCCCAGCTCCGGGGAGCAGCCGCCCGCCGCTGGCCAGGCCCTTTGGGACCGGGGGCTCCGCAGGGCCACAGGCCGGGCTCTCCGGAGGCCCCGGGGGCTGCTGCCACCCTGGGGCGCCTTCACCTCGGGCCTCGCCATGGCCGGGGCGCCTCCGGGCCCTCTGCGGTCCGCTGGCCAGAACCCCCGCTTTAGGACCATGTCTACGTTTGGCCGGCACCCGGGATCCGGGTGGAGGCAAGATCTGCCACCTTGCACCATCCCGACCAGTGCTCAGAGGGCCTCCCGCGCACTCCGGAGACCCCCCTGGGGTCGGGCACTGGGGCTGCCAAGTCGCCCTGGACCCGCCAAACCGGGATCTGATCCACCGGAGGAGTGCTCCCCCCGCCCCCGCCCCCGGCCCGCATTCCAGGCCGCCCGCCCCGCGCTGGGGCCGCCCCGAGGGCCCGGGCCCGGCAGGGGCGAAGCGCCGCCCCCGACCCCCGCGGCCCCGCACGCGCCGCTCCCCGCTCCGGCGGCTCCGTCGTGGGCGGTCGGGCCGGCGGGGCGCGGCCTCGGGGCTGAGCTGCCCGGACGCGTGCGGGGCCCGGGCCTGGGGAGGAGGCGCCCTCCCGGCCCCGCTCCTCACCCTCTTCCACCTCCTGCGCCTCCGCTCCCTCCGCAGCGGCCATCTACCTGCAATGGGGCGGCCCTGCCTGGCTCCCACCGCACTGCCGGTGGAAGCCCGGTGTTGAACATTAACCAGCCGGAGCTATAGAGAGGGCTAAAACGTTACATATAAAAATGAATCATCCATCCGCTCCTGGGAGAGAGGCCCTATAGCGAGCCCTGCGCGCAGAGCTGCCCCGGCCAAGTCCCAGACCCTTCTGGTGGCCGCTGCTCATGAGCCATAGGCCGGGGCCGCGGAGGTCAGGCGGGGGCGGGAGGGATGGGGTCGTCCATCCAGCTTTCTCTTTGAGAAGCCTGAGGGGTAAGGCCTGGTAGCACAAGCGGGGTTCCTTTCCTTCCACACTTGAGGCACACAGAAAGGTCTGGAACAGCTCTCCTCTCTCACAAAGGTTAGCAGCTGAAGTTCTAAGAGGCTGCCAACTGGGTTGAGCGCTTAGGACTCCAGGGATGGGCCATCACAGCTCTGGATGGACACTGGGAGGCAGGACTGGGGGAAGAGGGGAAAGATGGGGTCAGAGATTGGGAGGCCCGGGGTGGGAGGCACAATGCTGCTGGGTCTGGCTTGGGGGCACTGAGGTTTGGGGCTTGTACCCCACCCCCACTCCGCTCGTACCCAACCCCCACTCACCTGGGCCCTGCTTCTTTCCCACCTAATTTGTTCCTTTAAACATATGTAACAAAGTAACAATGATACTTCAGCACTGACTTAAGTGCTAGTCCCACGTGCCCAGTGTCAAATATGCAGAACTTGCAGAGAGATTACAGAGATGGAGAAAGAATGCAAGACAGTGCACCCCCTGAAACAGCAAGCAAAAGCAACTCGGGGTGCTCAGCCAATCCCTGAATAGAAAGGTGATTCTCCTTTCTCTCTCTGCCTGACCAACCTTGTTCCCCTCTCCCCCATTCGTGAAAAGAGATAAAGTGCATGTAAGCCAGAGAAAGACGTGATGTCCCATCAGGAATTGCCAGCCAACATACAGAACAATTGTATCTCTTGGGAAGATTGGTTTAGTTCTGTGCAAAATAGCTGCTTTCCTCACAATGCACTGCCTGGCCCACAATAACTTCTCAGTAAATATTTTTGAAGGGGTAGCTCCTCTCCCCTAGGCGCCCCTTGGGCCCTACCTCTGACCTGTTCATTAAAGCAGCATCATTTTTACTGGGAGGATTCATCTTTGCCCTTAGGGGTGTGAGTAGGTGGCGGTAGTAGTGTGCACACCTAGTATGAACTCTGAATCATCCCATTACTCTATCCTGTCTTCGCTTCCTCAAAGCCCACTGATTCTCCTTCACAGCCTATATAGTGACGATGAGGATTTCTGGCAGGGGTTGGAGGGTGTCCTCAGAAACATGTGGGCAACCAGGTTTTTCAGAGGCTCTGCAGGCATCAAGCACGTGGTGAGTACCATGCATGTGTATCTGTTGGGCATTAATCAGTTTCAGTAGAAATGGCTTTGGATTTAAGATGTGGTTACAGCATGTTCATCTCTTCATGTAGTGTGGCAGCTCTAACATCAATGCACACACAGTATCCAACGTTATTCCCGTAAACTAATCCAGCCCAAGTTTGTCATCACCGTCTTTGTGTTAACCCCCTTCCCTAAGAAAAAAACAAACAAAACAAAAAAGAATTGATTTAAATGTTATACCAGTTCCCTCCGGAGAGAAATGAATATATCAAAGCAACTAAATAAATGCAAATGTCTGAATCACACTCAATTGCCCTCCAGTGACTTAGAGACCCAGAGAAACGTAGGTGGGGAAAGGGCATTTACTTTGAAAGATGTGTGTGTGTGTGTGTGTGTGTGTGTGTGTGTGGTGGTGGGGGGGGGAGGAGAAGGGGTATTATAAAGGGGATTGCAGTACCCATTCTGTCTTCTCTCCACCAAATTACCATGTTACCTGACACCCTCAATCTATTTGTGTCCTGGTTTACAGACAGTTTGACCAAGAGGTCATGGATTAGAGGGCTTGGGTGACTGCAAACAAGTTTGACAAGAAAGGAATCTGGGTGGGGTGCCACCATGGAGGTGGAGAGAGGATGAGACCACAGTGGCTGAAATACCTTGGCAACCCCCAGTCTCTGTGGACCCCCATCCACGCCTCCACAAGCAATGCTTAGTCAGAGAGCAGGGGACTGGGAAGAGCTGTCAACACAACCGGGAGAAATTATATCTCTCTCTCTCCACATCCCTTTTCTTTCCCTTCCCTATTTCCCGCCTCTGTCATTTTCTCCTTTTCTTTTTGTCCTTTTGCCACTTCAGTAGGCTCTCCCCAGAATTCTGCCTGCTCTGGGGTTATTCTCTGCTCGTCTACTCTTCTTTAAAAAAGAAAAGAAAAAAAAAAGATATTTTTATTGATTTCATAGAGGAAGGGAGAGGGAGAGAGATAGAAACATCAAAAATGAGAGAGAATCCTTGATTGGCTGCCTCCTGCATGTCCCTTACTGGGGATTGAGCCCACAATCTGGGCATGTGCCCTTGACTGGAATTGAACCTGGGACCCTTCCACTGAGCCAAATCAGCTGGGCTGTCTCCTCTTTGAATTAAAGTTTTAGGTTATTTTTAGTGTTTCCAGATATGAAAAACTCTTTTATCCAATCAAGGATAAATCTGTAAACTGCTTGTATTAATAAACATGGGATGCTTGAATGAATCATAATGATAATAGAGCCAATAAGTAAAACATGCATTATTGGAGCCTGTCTTTTCATAGCAACAGAGAGATTGTGCAACTCTTAAATATTTTAAAAATATATATTTTATTGATTTTTTATAGAGAGGAAGGAAGAGGGATAGAGTTAGAAACATTGATGAGAGAGAATCATTGATCAGCTGCCTCTTGCACACTCCCTACTGGGGATGTGCCCGCAACCAAGGTACATGCCCTTGAATGGAATCGAACCCGGAACCCTTCATCCACAGCCCAACGCTTTATCCACTGAGCCAAACCGGTTTCGGTTGTGCAAATCTTTGATAAAGTTTCACCACACACTGGGCAGTCTGGACGAGTCGGTGAACACACTCCTCCCACAGGTAAAGCAGTGCTTCCCCTGGTACTATGACCACCAAAGTGGTCCATCTCAGTTCAGTTCACTATTCTCCGC